TTATGACTTCATAAGCCAACTGTAGTTTACTCAGTAAACCAGTGTCTCTCAACCTTGCCAAATTTAAGATGTGTGGACTTGAAATCCCAGAATTCCCCAGCCAGCAGTGAACATTTAAGCAAATCATGTCTTTGCATGTTATGTGAATGCTATCTCATACTGATCCTTTTATCCAGGGCGGCCTCTGAAATATATTCACAGAATGCAGTTGACTGAAAATCCTGAGACAAACTGTTTATCCTTTTCAGTTTATTTTGTAGCTGCCAACAGAACAACCTGGGTATATCATGAAATCACGAAGTACTATTCACCTGTCTCTCTCTGTCTCTGTCTCTGTCTCTGTCTCTCTCATTGTTTCTTGATGGATTGTTTTGTTTCATTAAAAAGAATTCACTTAGAGAAAAATCCTCTTGTGTAGATGGAATTATCCTGAATCAAATCAATGAGATGTCCTCTTCAGTGGACAAATGAAGTTTATCTCTTGCAAACAATCAAAGAAGCTGGAGCTAATGGCAATGAAAAAGACTTTGGAATGTCACTCAGAAGGAAGACAAGAAGGCTTCTGGTTAAGATGGTGGAGAAAGAGGGAGCCATTGTTGGGCTGTCCTCTTGTTTGCTGTGGTATGGTGGTGAGGATGCTGCTGGGGCACTTGCCTGGTTCTGCTTGGGCTGGAGAATGAAGGCAGGTCAAACAGTTGGGAATTGAGTAGTGTGCAGCAGAACAGAGGATGGCCTGCCTATTCTTTGCTGCACTTGCAGATTTTATATATTTTTACAGCATTTTGCTGGGTTTTGGGACATTTGACTGGCCTTGTTTGGCGAGCTACCCCTGTTCTTGGTTTGTCAGAATAGATGGCCTGGATGGTGGCTTCTCAGATTCAACAGCAGTTTTGGGCTGCTTTTTGAACTTGGCAGTGTTTTTGGGCTGCTCCCTGAAGGACTGGGGTCATGAGCAGGCTGGAGGACAGGCCATGCTGGACTTAGTCTGCTGTGCTGCTTGCTCTGCTATCTGCATTTGTGGACTTGGTTTGTGTCTGGTGCCTGATTCAGCTGGGTGGAGGTGGGTGCTTTTACATCTTTTGCTGCTGCTGGAAGCTGCTGGATGCTGCAGGGCACTTTTGCTATTGTCTGTCCCTCCCTGTATTATTTAGTTTTCTTGTTGTTGGTGCTTTGGAGTGTGTGCTGTGGTCGGGCAGGGGGGATTACAGTAGAGTGACAGGCTGCTATGGACCCCGTCTCCTCTGTAGAGACCACATTGCTTCCCTCTGAATTCACCCAGTATAGGATGGCATAGAGGAAGAAAGGAAGAAAACAACCCAGCACCCTCTCCTGGTTGTGACTGGATGTTGATTCCTTCTAGAGCCAGAATAGGAATTTGCAGAGAGTGATTGGAAGGGAGCCCCTCCCAGCTGGTGAGAGCAGCAGGGGATGGCTCTTGATCTTGGTTGTATGAATGTGTTGTTGTGAGTGGGTTGTAGTGTGTGTTGAGGTGGTGGCTGGGTACCCTGCTGGTAATGAGTGCTCATGAAGCTAAAGTGCCCTGAGGTGTCCAGTTTCCTTTTCAAGGGATACATGGTGAGGACAACAGGTGGTTTCCAGTCCTGGGTCTTTGGGGGCTTAGATGCAGAGATGGGGATGCTGTGTGGGGGGCATAATATAATGGTGGTGATGGGCCTGGAGAGATATGTCAGGAGACAGGGAGCTGGCCATTCTTGGGGAATGTGAGACTGATGTCTCATACTGGTTCCACTTTCTAGCTCCTGGATCTCAGCCTGGGTACCCTTTCTGTAGATCTTCAGTGGCCCTGGCCTCCAGCTGCTGCTACTGAAGGCCAGGTGAGTCTGCAATAAGGCCTCCCTCATTAATGATTTAATGATTGAGGAGAGGGCCAACCTGGCATGTATTACCAAGAATTGGCTTGGTCCAGACAATGGGTAGTTTGATGGAATGTATCTACGAGGAGGAGAGTGACATGGGAGATCAAGGCTATCAGGAAGGAGGGGGTGTATTCCAGGAGGGAAAAGGTGACAAAAGGCAACACAATCCACAGGGGGAACATGAGAAGACTAAGAGATTCAGGATAGCCACTGCGTAGAATCTCATAGGGTATATCCACTAGTTTCTGTAGTATAGATTTAGTTTGGCAAGATTCTGTCTTTTTGGTGTAATCAAATCAAGGAACTGTCCTCGACTGAACTGTTTCATTGTTGTTCTTGGGCTGGGCTTGACAGATAGCCCTTTCAGAAATATGCCTAGTGGGGGTGTGGGTGTGCCATCAGCCAGACTTCAGGGCAAGGGTGGGTCTATAGTGATTGTCATCCAGGAATCTCTTATGGCTTTCAGGGATACTATTCCACAGGTCACCAGATGTGAGACCCTATTCATTAAGTTGGGCTCTAGCGATCAGTTGGGATTGTTGCTGTTGTACCAGCCTCCCTGCTGTATAACAATCTCCCTGCCTAAGTTCCTTGACTCCATTTCTGGGCTGGTAGTGGAGTGCCTCAGACTTATGGTTCTGGAGGTCTTCAAACTCACCTCTCTAGGAGTAGGATCTGAAATGGATTGGGAGTTCATGCCCACCATGACAGCCATGGGCCTATCCCTGGTCATCCAGAGCCCAACGCAGGACTGTGGTCACACTCCAGATCTGGTGTTCCTGTTGGAGCAGTGGCTTTGTGATCTGAAATTGGGGGAAGTCTTAGTGTACCCCTTATCATGGTCAGATTATGCCCTGATTTCCATGGAATTCTCTAGTGCCACTATCCACTGCAGTGAGGCTGGACCCATTCAATGGGTCTACCCCTGGAGATGGATGGACCCAATGGGTTTCAGAGGGAGCTGTGGGTTGTTCCTGTTGGTCTGCTGCATGGTTCTTCCAAAGCCTCGCTGTAGCTAGGAATAAGGGGGTGGCTGAGGCATTGGATCAGATAGCACCCATGAGACCTCTCTCCTGTCAGGGATCCCACCACTCCCAATCGTTTACAGAGGAGATGAAGGAGATGAAACAAGAGATGTCTAGAGCATCACTGGCACTCAACCAAGGATGAATTCGAGCAAACACAGGTTACAGCCACTATTAAGACCTATCTTGTGGCTGTAAGGGAGCCAAAGTGGCAGTACTTCTCCGCTCTTATTGTGTCCACAGCCTTGATTCAGGGACATGATCCCTCTTGGATAAAGGGGGCTGAGGGAACCTTTTGTAGGGATGTACAATGGAATTTGCTTAGCATCTGTCAGGAAAAAATGATTGGATTTACTCACAGTTGGATGCTGGTCTTTTTGCAAGTCCAGAGGAGATGGTTGGAGTGAAGTCTTGCCTGGTTATCTGGGAACGGATTGAAGTTGCTGGACCTGAGGAAATGGACAGGGTTTCTAGGAGTGAGACTAAAGCCACCAGCTCTTTAGATCCATGCTCCTCCTGACTTGTGAAAGTAGCCCAGGGGGTGCTGTTTGAGTGGGTTCTAGTGGTGGTTAATTCTTCCTTGAGTGAAAGGATTGCAAAAGAGGGCTTGGTTTGCCTCCTCCTCAAGAAGCCCTCACTGGACCATACCATACTGGGCAATTTTTGTCCAGTATCTTACCTCCCCTCTTTGTGGGTGGTTGAGAAGGGTGTTACACAACCATTTCATTGGGCCTTGGTTGAAGTGGATTATCTGTATCCTTTTCAGTCAGGATTCAGATGTGGGTATGGGACAGAAATGGCATTAGTCATGCTTTTGGATGATTTCTGGCATGGGCAGGATGGGGATTGTACATCCACCCTTGCCCTACTTGATGTCTCAGATACTTTCAATCCGATCAACCATGATATACTTCTGGATTGGCTCAGAGGATTGAGGTGGGTGGCCCATTGTTGTGCTGGTTTATCTCCTTTCTCCAGGGTCGCTTCGAGTCAGTTGTGACTGGGGAGGAGAGGTCCCGCCTTTTGCCCCTTATATGTGTGGTGCCACGGGGTTCAATGCTCTTCTGTCTCCTATTTAACATCTATATGAGGCCACTGAGTATGCTCACATATTGCCATAGGGTGGGGTACCATCAGGATGTTGATGATATCCAACAATACATCTTTGTCCCTGGTGAATTAAGCAATGCTGTGAATGTCTTATCCTGGTGTCTGAAGGCTATGAGGGTCTGGATGGGAAACAACAAGCTTCAGATGAACCTGGTAAGACTGAGTGGTTTTGGTTTGGGGGCCTACTGGTTCTAGATCTATACATCTTTAGTGATGGATGGGGTGGCACCACCTCAGGCAGAACCAGTGTGCAATCTGGTGGTCCTCCTAGACTCATGACTCCTGCTCAAAGAGCAGGTGGGAGTCATGGCTGGGAGGACCTTTGCATAGCTTCATGTTGTGTGCTACTTGTGCCCTTTCCTGGATTGGGAGGCTCTGCTCACATTCACTCATGCTCTAGTCACCTCCAGATTGGACTACTGTAATGTGCTATAGATGGGGTTGCCCTTGAAGAGTATCTGAAAGTTTCAACTGGTGCAGAATGCAGTGGTGTGGGCATTTATGTGTACTCCTAGAAGAGCACATATTACACCTCTGCACGATGACCTGATTGACTGCCAGTGTGCTTTTGGATCCAGTTCAAGGTACTGGTCTTAAACTTTAAAACCCTTCATGGCATGGGGTCAGGTTATGTGAGGAACAGCCTCTCCACAATTACATCAGCCTGTCCCATTAGATCTGGCAGAGAAGGCATGTTGTGGGTACCATCCACCAGGGAGTTGCATTTGGTGGGTCCCAGGAGGTGGGCTTCTCTGCTGTGGTGCCTGCCATATGGAACATTTTCATTTTTAATAATGATTTTTAAATATTTTATACTGATGATATATTTGTGTTTGCATATATGTTACTTTATTGTACGCTTCCCAGAGTTATTTGAGAGATCAGAAGCCTTGTTAATGTAACAAATAAATAAAAAAATAATAGAGAAATAAATAATTTTGGTTGGGTTCTTTGGTAGCCATCATATAACAAACAAGCCCATCCTTACCTTGGGTGGAAACTGCAGAATTTCAGCCAGTGGTGTCCTGGAGGCAGCTTCTACTGTCTCTGGATTGCTAATCATTAGATTTTGGGGAACTTGATCAGCTGTTTGAGAGCAGAGCTGAGCTATGATACTTAGTGCACTGATCAACTGTTTGGCAGTTAGCGGCATGGAGAAGGGGCAGCAATGTGTTTCTCTTATTTTTTAAAAACTTAAATTTTATACAGTACACAGATAAGAGTATAAACACAAAATATTATAACCTGATTGAATTAAATTATCTTGGAACCTGTAACTAGTAGTGAACAATCATTAGGCCTTTGTTAATAAGTTAGCACAGATTGAATTAAAAAATGGTACCTACAAATTAAAAAACAGAACAAACCTGATGTCTCTTCCTGTCATGAAATCATAAGACCATAAGAAGAATTTCGAGATATGTGTTGCTTTAACCTGGCAGACAATTCTTTGCGTGTAAAAGTCACTGTGCAAGATTTAAAGGATCTGGCAAAACATATCACTGAACAAGCCAGAAGAAGATTTGGTGATAACAATGGAGAACAGTTAACATTTCTATGAAATGACAATGTTTCTTTTAATTTTAATTGCTAGGCCATATCAAAATCAGCCTAGCAATTTTTCAAAGATTTGTTTCACCCATGGTAAAGGCTTGCAGTTTTCCATCTTATTCTCAAGTTAATTTTTTCCAATTCCACTGATAAGTTTTATTTAGCTTATTTATCATGGAGAATAGAAAAGTGTGTGTGTGGGGGGAGCTTCTGGTGAGGATCCAATGCAAACTAGACATCCCTGAAGAAGCGGGGATGTATTGCAGCAGGGATCAGCAGCCAGACAGTGAATTCTGAATCTTATCTATTTTTTTAAAAGATCTATGTGTTTCAGAAAAATAAGTATATTCTCTTGAGTTACCATTTTTATACTTCCATGCATTAACGAGCTCTGAATTATCCATTAAAAATAATAAAAAACTCTCTGGCAATTTACCCTATTTTCAGTATTATTCTCAGAAGTTCTATCTTTTTGTGAGGAAACCACTCCATTCCAGTCTCCCATGAGACACTAATTTTCATACGTAAAATCCAATAATTTATCCCCAGTCCTTTATAGAGTGCTGTTTTATCTTCATTTGGGGCAATAATTCCCAATATCAAAATCTTAGCCCCCTGTAGATTAACTTCCACCCCTATATATCTGACATGATCATCAGTCAGTATAAGTTTTGGATATGGTTGAGGATTTGTGTACAAAACAACTCCATTTTTTTCAATCCTCCTGATACTTGTGACTCAAATATTTTATATCTTTTTTCCTAGTATGTGTTTCTTGTAAGCAAATCACATTGTGTTTTAACTTTTCCAAATAATGATTTTTTTCTGTCTTTTGAAGGACATTTGCTCCATTTCTATTTCACCTTAAACATTTATAACCCATAGGTAGGCCAAGATTTTAGAAAAATCAATACCTGTAGTGCCCAACATGGAATCTTCTTCAATGCCTTGTTGTATCTATTGTGGCATTTCTTTGGTCTCATCTGTCATTGTCACTTCCATTTCTATTTCTTCTATTTCTTCTTTAATTTTTTTCCAAAAAATCTCTGGGTTTTGGGCCAGAGTTCAGTCTGAATCTCTGCTGTTTGAAAGTAAAAATCACCCTTTCCAAACTTGTCTCATCTAACTGGAATCTTCTCTTTAAATTTGTCTGTCACCAAAAAACAAAACAAAAACAAAAAACTCCTCTTTTCTCTTACATAGTATTCTAACTGGAATTTCCTTAAGTACAATGACTTTCGTATTATCAATCCTCAATCTAGTATTAAAATGCTGCTGCAATACTTGAGCTCTAGTCTTCCTCCTGACAAAGTGCACAAGGACATCCCTTGGAACATTTCTTACTTTTGCAAAATCTGTATTAATTATATAAACCTTATCAAGTTTTGTCTCAATGTCAGCTTTTGCCAAAAAAAACTAGACAGAGGCTTAACAATCTTTTTGCTAATATTTTCTCCACGTTGTTCTGGAATTAATCTAAATCTTAAACAAAATTCTTTTTCTCTCAGTTCCAGTAATGGAAAGTTATCTAAATCTTTCTCCATTTCTCTATAACTTCTGTCTTAATTTCCAGAATGTTGACTTTGACTTTGTCAATAAATTGTGTTATCTGCAGCCAGTCACTCTACAGATTCTTCAATATTCTTAACTTCTTCTTTCACAACTTTTTTTATTCCTGCAAATCCTCCTTCCATTTCATCTTTTTGCCAAATCACAGATGTACATTCCAACATTAAAATGGTGTCCCTGGAGGACAGAAACATTTTAATTCATGTTCTACTGTATATCTGATCAGTGAAATATGTTTGAAGAAATGGCATTTCTGATTCATTAAAGTTCAAAAGAGAAAACTTACAATAGGACTAACTCATTAATATTAATAGTAATATAAAGAAACAGTAGTTTCATGGTCAATAATTTTTTTTTCCTGTAAAAGTAGTATCTATACTTTTTTTAAAAGTAAAATATAGCATTTTGTTCCCTTTAGGCATATTCCCAAATGTCTCATTATTTCTTCTCTATGTTTTAAGGATATATTTTGTAGTTATATAGTTACTTGTGCAAATTTTTTCATGTTCACATTATTTCCCTATAGTTTAGAAGATATAGATAAAGAAGATACTTTATAGAGTGCTGTTTTATCTTCATTTGGGGCATAAATTCCCAATATCAAACTCTTAGCCCTCTGTGTAGTGACTTTGACCCCAGCATATCTGCCATAATGATCTGTCAATATAAGTTTGGATACAGTAGGGGGTTTATATACAAAAAACCCCTGCATTTATTTTAATCCTACTAAAATAAATTCCTCTCCCAGATTTTTGTGACTTAAATATTTTACATCTTTTTTTCCTTACATGTTTCTTGTAGACAAATCACATCTTGTTTTAACTTTTTCAGCTGATGATTTTTTCTCTTTTGAGGATCATTCGCCCCATTTAT